CCCCCCTGCACCTCTGGCCAGTTCTATATGAATAAATAAATCTTAAAAAAAAGGAAAGAAAAGAAAGGGAGGAAACAATAGTGTTGGACTCGAGTCCAAAGGCATGTCAGTCCAAGGTCTCATTCAGTATTTACAAAGCATCCAGGTTCCTCAACGGTTTCCCAATCAAGCTGGTACCTGCCGAAGAAGAAGCCGCAGTGGCGCGAAAACAGCAGCTCTGCACAGAGCGAAGAGGTGGAAGCCGTGTGCTAAGTCTGCATTCCCGAAACGGAGGTGACTGTGGCGGAAGGTCTAATGAAGTGTAAGGTGCTAACAGTTTCAGCCATGAAACTAGCTTCCTATTCCCTCAGATTGAAAATAAAATTATTTTGTGGGTTTAACAAATTTATTTATTTTTTTAAATCTAGCGATCAGATTGCAGTAATAGTATAATAATATCAAATAGAATGGTGGTGGTGGTGGTGGGGATAATAACAATTAATAATCATCATTGTTGTCTTTTAATATTAGAACTCCTAACAGTTTGCAGAGTGTCACACGTTACCCCACCCAATGGCCAGCAAATTCTGCATTTTTATGCCTAACAGCAAGACTATAAATGCTCTGGCCTGGCAATACCAGATAATCCACGGAACTGCTACTTTGGGCAACTGGCAGTTTTACATCCCCAGGAAGAGAGATGCACTTGATTTGAGTCCTGCAAGCGCTCTCTCAAGCACTTTTTCAAAATTTACAGAGAGATAATTATTACCTGGGTCCAGTCATTCTTATATAAATGTTATTTTCATTCGCGCCTCACACGTAGCCTTCAAATCTGCTCAAAGGAGCAATCTGAACCAACTGGGCAGAAAGCTGGGCCTGTTACACTGTGCCCAAGCACAAAAACGTGCCAGATGTTCTCAAAATAACTTTTGGGATATGACAAAACCAGTAAGAGGAAAGAAAGTTTCCATTCAGTCTGTCCATTTGTTCATAACTTGCCATTTGCGAGTCAGAGATTAAGTGCTGATCCTCCGGGGGTCCTAGTTCTAGAGCCTGGACAGACAGACGCAAGGTGAATCTAGGATACATGTACTAGGTCTTTGGGAAGGACTGTGTGGAGCAGCTATTAATAAAAAGCATAACATCACACACGAACCATTTGGTTTTTTTTTTTAAAACCAGAGTTTGCTGCTTTTCTCACCAAGGAGAGTAACCTTCCAGACACACTGATGCCAATGAGATCACCACTCACAATGTTATGAGAATACAACACTGGCCTCAAAAGAAGGAATTAAAAATCATTCCTGGGAAGAGGCTGGGTTTAGCTCAGAAGCTGATTCAGCCATCAATGAAATAACAATCCCAAACTCTCCCAGGGTTAGCTAATTTCTTAAGAAACACCTTGATGTCAAGGCTTGTTTATTATCTTGAAGGAATAAATTTTAAAGCCTACTTACTACTTACTACTACTCCCACTAGACATAGTAGAGCATAGAAGATGATGATGATTTGTCATTTAAAATTAGGGATTAGAAGAAATAAAAGCTAGGCACTGGGAGTTACCTTTTAGCATTAAAAAGCAAAGGATAAAATTTCAGTATTAAAATGCTCCCATGCCAGGCTACTAGCAACACATGTGCAAAGTTTTCCAGAACTTCACCCTCATCTGGGAAGTGAACATGCAGAAGACTGGCAGCAGTTAACTCTAGAACTCGGTCAATCTAGAATTAGAGCTAACTCCAAACCGCTCGTTCTGTTCTTTACAGCCATCGACTCTTTCTCACCTTTGCATATACAGTTAATTCTTGTTGTGCATAATAATTACATTCTATAAATTTGCCAGGAGCACTGAATTAGTGGATACTGAGCGAATGCTTCCAGCAGAAATACTGGGATAGGTTTCTGATCTTCACAGATCATTTCTATTGCTCTGTCTTTAAATTCATTACTATTTCCTTGCTTATCTTCACTCTGCATTTAATTCTACTCAGTGTGTTTTGAAAAGAAAACCTCAGATATTTTATTTTTTTAGTTCTAGAACTTCTATTAGGTGCTTTTAAAATATCATTTCTATTTCCTTGCTGGTTTTTTTTTTTTTTTTAATGAGATGGAGGTATGCTTTTCTTTTACTTCCTTGAGGATAATTATGATAGGTGTTTTAAAATACATGTCCGATAATTCCAATAATGAGGATTATCTCAGTCGATTTTCTTTTCTACTGAGAATATGTTCCACTTTCCTGGCTTTTCATATATTGAGTAATTTTGTATTACATGCTACACATTATGAATATTAAATGATGGAGACTCTGTTCTGTTCTTGATAAGTTTTCTTTCTTTCTTTTTTCTTAAAGCAGGCAGTTACTTGCTAGGCTCAGGGTGAGCCAGAGGTGGCAGGAAGTAGGAATCCTGGGCTTCCTCTCTCTGCTTTCCCTTTCAGAGTTCCTCCTGCATCTATAATTTCCCAAGATCCAGTCTCTGGCTCCCCAAGAGACTGGCAGAAAGACTGCCATTTCTTCACCAGTGTCCCTAGTGCATTGCATGCCTCTCCAAATAGGCTTAGCCCTAGGTTAAAAGCCAAAAGAATGGGAATTCACCGAATAGAGAGCACCTCTCCTCTAAGCGTGGATTCCCGTAAGAATCTGCCTACTTCTGACTCTTTTTCCTGTCTTTGGGTAGCTGCTCATTACATGATATCCAGAGTCCACAGTTTTACTACTTGAAGGAGGGCTGATCTAGCATATTGCTCAGCCATTGCTGCCCCAATTATTCACTACTGTGTTTAGAAAGAATTGATGAATATTCTGAATACTTACACTGCTTAGAATAAGCTACTTTGGAAAGATCTGATATAGTTAGACACCATCTCCTCATTTTGTTGCTCAGTTTATCTCCTTGTTGAGGAGGGTTGTTCTTAATTCAGGGCAACATAAATGCTGCCTCTCTTGGGTATTCCTAATAAATTTAATTTTCAGCAAGGGTATAGGAAAAAGGCTTAAAATGGAGTTTTTCTGGCTTCTACTAGGCTTTAGGCTATACCTGAGAATGAGTTAACAAGCATCTGTTCATGAGGTGGAAAGAAGGCTAAGCAGAGAAAGTCAGTTTCTCAAGAAGAAAACGAATGCAATATTTCCTTCCAAGGTGGAGACTGCATGGACTGCCCAGAGGCTGCCTGCGTCACCCGAGAGAGCAGCACAAACTCCCTCCTGAGTTGGGAGTAGCGATGTCTGCTCCCTCTGATCCCAAACCATCTCCCGATGGCCTGCACCTCTACCTCTCACTGGTCTTTCCACCTCCTTTCAAGATGTAGAGCCACATCGGTCCTCCACCAGCCACAGAGAATTCACTGAAAGCTGGTATTATCTTTTGGCACTCAGTAGCTTGAGAGATAGTGATTAGAAGGGGGGAAAAAGCTAAAAACTTCATCAACAAAGTGGCATTTTCATTTCAGCTGTTCCTGGGGGCAAAACCGAGCGGGAGAAAGAAATCCCAGATTGAAAGCTTTGTGTTTGTCTCCGCTTCTCATTAAAGTGCCCCTGATTATAATCACACCTACGATTACAAGCTTTAACACACCTGTTCTCAAGGATGCACTGGGAAGAGGAATCATAATTCATCCCATCCTATTTCCTTTCTTTATTCACTGAGTAAGCATAATTTATAAATTTTAGTGAGGGTAGAGAAGGCATGGAGAACAGCAGAGGTTTTACATTTACATGGATGGCTTTTTGAAAGTGGCAAACATCTTCCGCTACCATTTATTTTAGTGCTGGTGAGACAAGTAGTGTTGCATTTGTTGGCTATACATGGAAGTGAGAAATCTGGACAGAATTTCTCTCTCTTATAACCAGACATTTTGCTCTACTTCTCTTTCTCGCTCTCTCAATCTGTCTGTAAGGACATGTATACCAATAGCATTTTGTATATTGCTTTTAATAGTGTTGTGACTCATTTTAAAATAAATTGTTACTCTGAAATAATTTTAGGTTTACAGATAAGTTGCAAAGACAGCACTCCTCTAAACCCTCTCCCCTGGCTTCCCCTAGAGCGACTACTACACAGCGAATTCCTATTTGGGAAGAATTTTATAGATCTTGACAATGGGTGACAGTGTCTCTTCCTGAACTCCATTTTCTATAGCAGATTCTTGGTAAGTTTAGTGTTTACTTTAGAGCAATTTATTTATCTGAATTATCCAGTAATGATCTGTTGCCCCCCATACCTATTAAGGTCCTAGATAACAAGGGGATGACTATAAGTCATGCTTGTAAAAAAGTAGTGTCAGGAACTTGAAGGGGCAAGACTCTAGCATGAACAAAGCCTGAGTGCTGAGAAAACACTCCTAATGGCTTCACTGACACTTAAACACCGACATGACAACCGTAGACAAGCCAGGAAGTGAATTATTAATGCAAACTCTCTCTATAAAGTCAACTGGGAATGACTTTCTATTAAGATTACGAAGAAAATTAATTTAGAGGTCATGAATTCTTGCACACACATGAATACACATGTGCATGGAGAGATACCCACTCAAACCCTCTTGGAGGAGAAAGTTTAATTCATGCAGCAACTCAAATTTCATGGACTTAACTCACAATAGAAAGGAAAACACATTAAATGAGGCCCTTTAGTAACCCAGCATGAACAATGAAGTGAGTCAGGAAGACCAGTCACTAAAGTTCAGGCTACAGAGGCGGATTTACTGTGCTCTAGCTAGCTCACCTTGGAACCTGTCCCTCTGAGGAGGATGCCAGGAATTACAGTCTCAGTCTATAAACCTAAGCTCTGGTTTTTCTGCAGTGGTGATGGTGTAGTTTGCCTAATATGATATAAGGGGACACAGAGATTCTTATTGAAGATGCAAACACCACCATTTTCCTGCTAAAACATCCTTGATGACCAATGCATTTGCATGAGTTCACCCAGGGAAAAGGTCTGGTGAAAGGAAGGTTAATGAACAAGCCAAAAAAAAAAAAAAAAAGGCAGGGAAGCGCAAACAGTAAGACACTGGCTTACCTCAGTAGCTTTCTGGCTGAGTCCCCGAAGCAGCAGCACAATTACATGGATGGCAGCTCTGCGCACTTGAACTTCGGGGTCTGTTTTAGCCACTGCAATCAGGCAAGCTGTTACCTAGGAGGGTGAGGGAAGAAGTCAATAAAAATCAGGATTGCACAATTACCTAAAGCCTTTTAACTTGTTCCACTTTCTAGACATTCATCAAAACACTCTGGCTTAGAGAAGGGTAAATAGTTTCCTCATTCTCAATAAAGAGGAGAGATGGAGTGGTAGAGATCTTGAGTTAGCCTGGCTTTTCTGGAAAAGGACAAAATCTGGTTTGGAATGCAGGAGAGAGACTAGGGAGTGGGAAGGAATACATGTCTATAATGAAGTTACAGCCCAATGCAAATATTTCCTTACTTGTCCCCACTTTAGGGACATCAGGTTGAAGGAAAGGGAAGATGGTACCCAACCCAGCTGCTCCTGGGGCCCAGAGATCCCACGGAGCTTAAGCTCAGCAGTCTTCAGTGTTAAGGCCTGGCTTCAAAATAAACATGCCATCAAAGAAAGTTTCAGCCCAGAGCTAGAGAAGCATAAACAGAGTGATCTTCAGCATGTCCACATGGCTCATCCTACAAATCCAGGGCACACCCCAGGTGAGATACCATGGGCCAATTTCAGGGACTCCACAGCTGGGCTTCTTGATTTTGAGAATAGGCCTTTCATGCTCATTTATTTTAAAAACCAGTTCAATAGCAAAAAACACTGGACATGGTTTCCCAAACATGGTACTAAACATACAGCTAATAATTTCATGTCATAAAGTGAGACAGTTTCTATCACTGTACTAGTCACCCTGTCCCCACCCTGCTTCTGGTAAGCACAAAAATATGTTAGAACCTCAATAGATACCACTCAAAACAATGACAATGACAGAAATAAACCTTTCTGAGGCATTCATGCAAGGTTTAAAAAGAAAGAACAACACTTAAAAGTGGGATGAATGGCAGCAAAGATCTGAAGGTAAAGTTAAAAGAGTCAATTGGTCACTTAGATACTTTGATTTGCCGTGTGAGAAAATTCCTTGGTCAACCATGGAGTGATTTCAAATCATAACAAGAAAATAGCAAGATTCTATGTTTGGAAACGCATATAAATACATATTACATTTAAATACCCTCACTATGCTGAGCCGGCCATGCTTCTGGCCTGTTAGTATAAGACCAGCTCTGATGATAGGGCATTACAAGGTTTGAAGGAGGGCCCCTCCCTGATGGTGCAGCAGGTTAAAGCACAGCACTGCAAGTTGGCCACCGCCACTTCAGTGAGAGTTCGACCCACGTGGTGTGAAAGACCTCTCCTGTCTCGCCCACTGCTCCCCTCAGCAGTGTACTT